TTAGCTTTGAACTAAAAAAAATTATTCGATATTGTTTAGTAATGATCTGCGTCATCATTTATTAATAAATTGATTCTTATTCGGAAACAGATTTTCAATTAAATTATTTAAGATTATTTAATAATATTTAATATTAATAAAATATAAAAAATATTAATCACATACCGGCTTATTATTATTTAAATTTTGTTTTTTATTACTATGTTTAATATTATTAAAATATTCATTTTGCCATTTTTTTATACTATTAATTGAACTTTTAGCTTTAAATTGTTCATATAAATATTGTAAATAAGCTTTTGCTTTATCTCCTCTTATTAAAAATTTTTTTATAGTAAAAGATAAAAACGTGTTAATATTAGCAATTTAATTTTATCTACTAGTGTGTTAGCAAACTTTATTTCTAATTAGTTAATCACTAAATATATCATCACACAATATGTATCATCTGACAACTTTTAAATTTTTTTTTTTACTTTGAACTCATTTTCTATTACCCAATCAGAATGAAAGCCTGCTATGCTTTTGTTACTACTATATAAATAGATTTGGCATATCACTTAATTTATTAATAATATACTATTATAATAATAGATATAAGTTTTTTTTTTAACATTAAAATTTTCATAGGAGTTTAGTTAAAAATATAATTAATAACATGTCACTTTTTTAAAAATTTATATAGTTATTGTTACAAAATAGCATATCAGTTCTATTAATATTATCTGGGGTCCTGTATATACTATATATATTACTATATAGTATAGTATATATAATAATATACAAATCTATTCCGATCTCTGGATTCTGTAATTGGATTTTGATTATTTCAGGCTTGTTGGAATCCCCACTCTGTGAGGATCATTTTGGTAGTTAAATCATCAAAATTAGACCAGTAGAACAAAAGTTATTTATTATTAAAGTTTATATATATTATTATATAAAATTTAAAATAAATATGAAATTTGATTGGCTAATGGGGGTGTCAGGTGTGGGTGGGTGGGTCTGGCCTCAGGCAATCTATTAATAAAAATAAATCAGCTGATTTCTGGAAGCCCCCTAAAGGGTTTCTGTTATCCCCGCCTACAAAATTTTTATTTTTATTATTATATTGGTTTTTTTTCTCGTTGTACATATGAATATATATCTTAGTTTACTTGCTTAGTTATTAAGATCCGGGTGGTCGTTTCACCTTAATTTATAAGATAAATCCATTAAGTTGAATAAATTTGCTTTATCTACCTTATTTACTTTAGCAGATTTAGTGGATTTATTCAAACAAAAAGCCTGTATTTTCTTATTTCTGTAAAAAGTATAAAAGCGAAAACTTTTCGCATCAAAATAAAGATAACTCAGTTGTGTTAAATACTTTGAAAACATGACTATAGAAGCAGTGATTCCAGTAGTTTACTTATATTAAATATTGCTTCTAATAAAACATTCGATTATTCAACACTTTGTCTTGTTATCTTTGTTAATTTGATTGTAAAACCCAAGTAAAGTCTTGACCTTTTGAAATTCAAGTAGAAAGTGTCAACTCCAAGTTCCTTTGATAACCAGATAAACTCTTATATATATAAATTGTTGTTAAAACCTTCTTTTTCCAGAATTTGTATTAGTTATACTTTCGATTTTTACTCAAAATAAGAGAAGAGAAAGAATTGATTAGTAATTTGAGACTTTTTATAACCAAGATTAAACTCTTAATCAATGTCATTGTTACCTCTAATTGAAGATCTATCATTCTATAACTTATGTGATGATTATTAAGAATTGAATCGAAGACTAAAAACTTGGTGCATTAGAAATAAAAAAAATGAATTACTTTTAGCTTTCTACTGAAGATTAGAAATTACTGATAAAAGAATAATACAGAGTTATACTTTTATTTGTTATATTTTTCAATTTCTGCTTCATATCTTATTTTTTATACCTTAAGAATTATTTAATAACTATATTATTTTTATCTTGTATTTATTTAAAGTGCATTGTGCATACATATTAATTGTCTATCTTACCCTAACCTAACCACTACATTATAGTTAATGATTATAATTATTTCTGATTTATTTAACAATTACCTATTCAGAATTGTCTTACATCACCTGTATTATCATTTCGCTTTATTTATACTTATAAAATACTTTCTATTAAGATGACAAAACCAAAAACCAACTATATTAGCAAAGATTATTTAAAAAATACTACAATTAAACCCAGAAACAGAGATCTTGTTAGATTTAATTGTATATGGCATTGTAAAGGTGATTGTTGAGTTGATTCAAAAATGCGTTCTAAGTATCAAAAGAGTTAGATACATTTCTGGATTATGCTTCAAAATCTAAAGAAGTTGTTCGAGATAAAAGCAAATCTGTTAGAAGCTCAGCAAAAGAACAAAAGTATAGAAGTGATTCAGTTAAACTAAATTTATCTGGTGATGATTTTTCTAATTGATTTTTTGAAGACGATACAGTAGCTGATCTGGATGAAACAGAATTAGAGAAATTAAAACTAGATGAAAATATTTTAACAGATAATAGCCAAGAGTCAAGCAATTCTAATTATGATGATGATTTTGAAGATACTTTAATCAATCTTTTTGTTTTATTTATTATATTTGAATTGACTTTTTTTTTGTACTATTCAATATACTCGAATTGTATTATTTATGTGAGAAATTATAGCAGAGGTTACCAATGATCATAGTACATAGATAGCCCTTCAGACCATCCATGTACTATGATCATTGGTATACTATAAGTTACCAAAGATAATTATATAATAAAAAGATTCACAAACGAAATTGAAGCATAAAATTTTGGGGTTATTTATAGATTATTTAAATTCTAAGCTATTATATATTTATTAAGAAAGTCTAACTAATGTTTAATAAAGATCTATATCTGTGTAATCTCTGTTATAATTTTCTACAGAAAATAAATAAATAATTCCTGGGAGTGTGTCATAGTGATTGGACCTGAGTAGGTGCCAATTGGGTCACCTGCAGGTGGGCGAGTAACTCAGTTGGAGTTTTGGCCACCTGGGTGGAAACGGGTGGGTTACCCGACAAGTGACCTGTGAACAATAATTGCAAGGCTTTACTAAACTTCAATCCAAATTTATACTTGTATATATATTAATTGCCTTTTTTTTTTAAAAAAAAAAAAACTTTTCAAAACGGACTAAGGGTGCTTTCAATGGATCGAAGGTAAATTTTAAATATTACCATTTTGATGAAAACCAGCAAGTTACAAACTATCTTTTTTTTTAAAAAATCTTATCATTGATAAAAGTCGCTCGAGAATTATTTTAATATTTTTTATATATCAAGTATAATATATAATGAATTCTCAGTAAATTTCTACCTGATCCAAAAAAAATTACTATTTTATTTTAATGCTAGAGACTTTTAAAACAAACTACCACTATTACTTAAAAATATACACGTATGCATAATAACAGAGGGCATCTATTCACCCGGGTGGCTTATGAGTCCACCTGACAGGTTGTTTTTTAACCCACTCAGGTTCTACCCGAGTAGTTTATTGGTCCACCTGCGGGTGACAGAGTGGCGCTTTTTTTGACAGGTTCAATCACTAGTGTATCACTAGATGTTAATTGGACTACCATACTATTATTTTTGATTTTGGGTCAAAATTCTGAAAAACAGATTCTCAAAAGATATCAATTAAATTGGCCAATACTATAGTTAGTGCTGGCTAACTTTGTCAGTATTATGTTCTTTCAAGAATCCGTTTTTTGAAATTTTAACTCAAATTCATTATTTTTATTCGTGTATTTTACTAACTTTTGGGCTTCACTTTATTATTATTTTTTTTTTATTTATATCATTTTTATTGTTTACTTTTTTTATCACCTTTGCTTTTTACTTCTATGTTTAACTCTTTTCAAACTTTTACTTTTACTTTGCTCTTATCATATCTTTTTTTAGCTTCATTTTACTATACATACTTACTTTGGCTTTTAAAGTTCTTTAGATAAACTGTGATAAATACAAAAAAAAAAAATAATTCAAATAAAAATTAAGCATTAAAAATTAGAGTTTCTTGATAATCAATATGGGGCTGGGAATTTTTGATAGAAAGATTCTTAGTCACAATATGATTATTATAAATATGATTAATCTTGTGTAAAAAATAATAATAAAAGTAGTCATGAGTGACACTTAATGTGACAGGGGATTATGTCTTTTATTCATTATACTTGAATTAATCCTCTATCACTGCACTTGTTTTTTTTTTTTTTTTGAAGATTATGAACATTTTGATCCAAACATTGAATTAGATTTTCTTTGAATACTGTTATAGATATTCAAATTCCAAGCAAGATTTTGTCTTTCAGTTATTGCAATTAAATTCTTTATTAAGTTTTTCCAGATAGTCTTACTAGATATTGACTAGTCAAGATTCAGAGACTTTCCTACCAGCTTGGATATAGCGAGAAAATTGTTAGAAATTAACACACATGCAAAAGAATATAGTATATGTCCTAGTTGTGACACCTTATATGAGACTTTAGAAGTTATAAATAAGCAAAATAAAAATTTTAAATGCACTTATATAAAGTTTTCTAATTATTCAATGTGTAGCCAAAGACAGCTATGTAGTGCTGAAATGACTAAACAGGTCCTGGTTGTAAGTGGTTACATCAGAAGGCCAAAGAAGATTTTCTTTATTATCTTTGAAATCACAGTTAATCTTTATGTACCAATGTTCAAGATTTAAGTCTCATTTAAAAAAATAGACCAACCGAAATATTAATACTGGGTTAATATCTGATATTTATGATAGTGAAATTTGGAACAATTTTCCATCACAACTTGATATACCAAATTCTCAGTTCTTTATACCAGAAATAGCAGATTCTCATTTGGGACTTATAATTAATCTTGACTAGTTCCAACCATTTGAAACAACAGTATATAGCAGTGGTGTGATATATGGTGCAATATGCAACCTTCCTCGAGAAGAAAGATTCAAATAGGAAAATATGTTATATCTTGGACTTTTACCAGGGACCACAAAAGTCAAGTTATATAAAATAAACAATTATCTTGTATTAATAGTGAATGAATTGCTAGAATTCTGGGAAGAAGTTAAACTACCTACTGGAAAAAAAATAAGATTAGCAGTTATTTGCTGTTCCTGTGATATTCTGGCTGCCAGGAAACTTTGTGACCATATATTAGCATTAGTTAGTTGCTATTGGTGCTACAAAAGGTATTATAAAATTTATAAAATTAATGCAATTTATATTATATAAGTGACACCAAAAAAAAAACAAAACCTCAAGCTTTTAAATTTATAGCTTACTAGTAGAGCTTTATATTCATTTTTGTTATTTGAATATTTGTATTTGGTGAATATTCAAATAAATATTATCTAATAAATAATTTAAATAATATATTTTATTTGAATAAACAAATTTTAGTTGAATAAATAACACTTATTGAATTCTGTTAGTCATTCAGTAAATATTTAAATAGATATTTGCCAATTAAATTATTTAAATATTATTTGAATAAGGAATTATAAGCTCTACTTACTGGCCAAAGTTTGATTTTTACTTATTTTTTAATATAGTTTATATAATTTATCAAATTTCTTAACTCTAACAAAAGAGCAAATGTTGATGGAAGAACATCAAATTTTGGTGGTTTTGATGATATATCTGATTGGTTTAGAAACATGATTCTAAAGTGCATTGACAAAATGCTAAAGAATGACACCAATGTAAATCTAATAATGAAAGAAAATAACATGTTTTTGCTACTTGTGTTAGGTGGTCAGAAATGTTACATTTACCTTATTTTAACCCAATAAGACATCTAGTTATTGATCCTATGCATTGTTTGTTTCTTGGAATAACACTATGAATAGTAAAAAGGTTATTAGTTGGGAAAGGAAAAATTATGAAACATCATCTTATATCAATGGAGTATCATGCCAAAGATATCAAAATACCTGCTAATTTAGGCTGAACTCCAGATAAAATTGCTACTGGAGATGGGTTTTTAAAGTTCACAGCTAATCAGTAGAAAACATTTTTGTTAATATATACAACTCTATTGATATAAAACAAACTGGATGATACTGATTGAGAAATTTTGAATAATTTTGTAAAAGCATGCTCTCTGCTTGTATATCAAATTATTGATGATAAAATATTAACTAAAGTAGTGTTTCAAACTGTTAAAATTTTACTAACCGGTTAGTTGCCAACTATAGTTGACAACTAACCGGTTACGTAATCACGTGACTAATTTACCTGGTTAGTTGGTTAAGTTGGTTAAGTTGATTAGTTGGTTAGTTAGTTGGTTAGTTGGTTGGTTATTGGCTAAAAGAGACAATCAAAAAATTAGGCCAGAATTACTCATAATTTTACTAATAAAATCGCAGCTCCTATTAAGTTAAAATTGTTTTTGGGCCAATTTTACTATAATGTAGGCTCATTTTTTAAATATTTTTATTTTTGTAATGAAAATTAAAAAGTTGATTCTGGCCAGAAATTAGGAACAATTATGTAATGCGGGCCAAAATTTTGGAGATCCTTGGCCGTTAGCCAATCAAAATCGAGGATCTGCTACACATTTTTTTGTAAGAAAGCTTATTTTCACTATACCATAGATCTCTGGCCCGGAGAGCTCTTATAGAGGACCCCGGACATCTCTGATATATGTCATATTTTTTTTTCAGCGAATTGCCAAAAATTTGGTCAAAGGTCCAAAGT